TTTATAACTTGAACCCTGGTTAAAACTGATCCTGAAAATGTCCGAAATGGATTCAGCGTCCTCAATAACCCCCAAAACGTTCTCAACTGTCTGTTTAGGATATAATGCTGAATAATTCTAATTACACAACTTCTGCTAATAGTGCAAATTGCCCAACATATGAAAGTTTGAATCCAGGCCATGGGAAATGATCTGTCATCAATGATTCTAAAGAATAATGATCACGCCACCAAACACACATTCAAACTAAAGGAACCAGCTGTTTGGAAAATGAGAGAAGTAGAAAGTACAGGTATTTGTGTTCAACATGTAAGAAGTAGAAAGTACAGGTATTTGTGTTCAACATGTGAGAAGTAGAAAGTACAGGTATTTGTGTTCAACATGTAAAAAGTAGAAAGTACAAGTATTTGTGTAAAACATGTAAGAAGTAGAAAGTACAGGTATTTGTGTTCAACATGTAAAAAGTAGAAAGTACAAGTATTTGTGTTCAACATGTAAGAAGTAGAAAGTACAGGTAATTGTGTTCAACATGTAAAAAGTAGAAAGTACAGGTATTTGTGTTCAACATGTAAGAAGTAGAAAGTACAGGTATTTGGGTTCAACATGTAAGAAGTAGAAAGTACATGTATTTGAGTTCAACATGTAAGAAGTAGAAAGTACAGGTATTTGAGTTCAACATGTAAGAAGTAGAAAGTACAGGTATTTGAGTTCAACATGTAAGAAGTAGAAAGTACAGGTATTTGTGTTCAACATGTAAGAAGTAGAAAGTACAGGTATTTGAGTTCAACATGTAAGAAGTAGAAAGTACAGGTATTTGTGTTCAACATGTAAGAAGTAGAAAGTACAGGTATTTGTGTTCAACATGTGAGAAGTAGAAAGTACAGGTATTTGGGTTCAACATGTGAGAAGTAGAAAGTACAGGTATTTGTGTTCAACATGTAAGAAGTAGAAAGTACAGGTATTTGTGTTCAACATGTAAGAAGTAGAAAGTACAGGTATTTGAGTTCAACATGTAAGAAGTAGAAAGTTCAGGTATTTGAGTTCAACATCTAAGAAGTAGAAAGTTCAGGTATTTGAGTTCAACATCTAAGAAGTAGAAAGTTCAGGTATTTGGGTTCAACATGTAAGAAGTAGAAAGTACAGGTATTTGGGTTCAACATGTGAGAAGTAGAAAGTACAGGTATTTGGGTTCAACATGTAAGAAGTAGAAAGTACAGGTATTTGTGTTCAACATGTAAGAAGTAGAAAGTACAGGTATTTGTGTTCAACATGTAAGAAGTAGAAAGTACAGGTATTTGTGTTCAACATGTAAGAAGTAGAAAGTACAGGTATTTGGGTTCAACATGTGAGAAGTAGAAAGTACAGGTATTTGAGTTCAACATGTAAAAAGTAGAAAGTACAGGTATTTGGGTTCAACATGTAAGAAGTAGAAAGTACAGGTATTTGGGTTCAACATGTGAGAAGTAGAAAGTACAGGTATTTGGGTTCAACATGTGAGAAGTAGAAAGTACAGGTATTTGTGTTCAACATGTAAGAAGTAGAAAGTACAGGTATTTGGGTTCAACATGTGAGAAGTAGAAAGTACAGGTATTTGTGTTCAACATGTAAGAAGTAGAAAGTACAGGTATTTGGGTTCAACATGTAGGAAGTAGAAAGTACAGGTATTTGTGTTCAACATGTAAGAAGTAGAAAGTACAGGTATTTGTGTTCAACATGTAAGAAGTAGAAAGTACAGGTATTTGGGTTCAACATGTAGGAAGTAGAAAGTACAGGTATTTGTGTTCAACATGTAAGAAGTAGAAAGTACAGGTATTTGTGTTCAACATGTAAGAAGTAGAAAGTACAGGTATTTGGGTTCAACATGTAAGAAGTAGAAAGTACAGGTATTTGGGTTCAACATGTAGGAAGTAGAAAGTACAGGTATTTGTGTTCAACATGTAAGAAGTAGAAAGTACAGGTATTTGTGTTCAACATGTAAGAAGTAGAAAGTACAGGTATTTGGGTTCAACATGTAGGAAGTAGAAAGTACAGGTATTTGTGTTCAACATGTAAGAAGTAGAAAGTACAGGTATTTGTGTTCAACATGTAAGAAGTAGAAAGTACAGGTATTTGGGTTCAACATGTAAGAATTAGAAAGTACAGGTATTTGTGTTCAACATGTAAGAAGTAGAAAGTACAGGTATTTGTGTTCAACATGTAGGAAGTAGAAAGTACAGGTATTTGTGTTCAACATGTAAGAAGTAGAAAGTACAGGTATTTGTGTTCAACATGTAAGAAGTAGAAAGTACAGGTATTTGGGTTCAACATGTAAGAAGTAGAAAGTACAGGTATTTGTGTTCAACATGTGAGAAGTAGAAAGTACAGGTATTTGTGTTCAACATGTAAGAAGTAGAAAGTACAGGTATTTGTGTTCAACATGTAAGAAGTAGAAAGTACAGGTATTTGGGTTCAACATGTGAGAAGTAGAAAGTACAGGTATTTGTGTTCAACATGTAAGAAGTAGAAAGTACAGGTATTTGTGTTCAACATGTAAGAAGTAGAAAGTACAGGTATTTGTGTTCAACATGTAAGAAGTAGAAAGTACAGGTATTTGGGTTCAACATGTAAGAAGTAGAAAGTACAGGTATTTGGGTTCAACATGTGAGAAGTAGAAAGTACAGGTATTTGAGTTCAACATGTGAGAAGTAGAAAGTACAGGTATTTGTGTTCAACATGTAAAAAGTAGAAAGTACAGGTATTTGTGTTCAACATGTAAGAAGTAGAAAGTACAGGTATTTGTGTTCAACATGTAAGAAGTAGAAAGTACAGGTATTTGAGTTCAACATGTAAGAAGTAGAAAGTACAGGTATTTGGGTTCAACATGTAAGAAGTCAAAGTAAAAAGTCGTCAGAAAAATAAGTAGTGGAGTAAAGTACTGATACCAGAACAATGTAATTAGACCTTTAACGAAGCAGACATTTTTGGTCCAATTAATCCGGTTATTTAATTTGTGAGGGGTGAGCGGGTTCAAGTAACTTCCTAACAAGCTGCCCCCCCCTTCCAAAACCCTCCATATGCCCCCCTGTGGAGCACAGCAGCAGATAGGGGGGGGGGGGGGGGGGGGTAAATGAGGACATGAGAGGGGGGCCATAATTATCCCTTCAATCTCAATCTAAATCTGGCACAGTTCACATCATCGGGACAAAGACGATAAAAACATCTTGAAATGGTGAAAGTCGGTGCATTCTGGATATGAGTTTTATCCCAACACTGTAATAAATGCAAAATAGATGATCTTTAAAAAGTATGCTTTTCTGTGCTTAATTTAGACAAATATTCCGTTTGTTATGAATGAAACTAGTGCTGGAGAGGCTTTTATCCGACTTCTATTGAAATGATTTTGTATCACTATTATGGGGCTATATAAATGCACTTGTGGGTGATTTGGAGCACCTCTGCACTTTGTTCTGATTAAATGTTTTTCTATCACACTTTTTTCCGTTTAAATGTTTTTTTATCATTATTATGGGACTATACAAATGATAAACAAGAACAATTATACAAGAACAGCTTTTTGAGATAAAAATGTGTTGGCGTCTAAATTGTATAAACATTTAGTGAGTTTATTTTAATTCATCCATTCATTTTTGGGGATTTTCTTAAACTTCATTTTTCGATTTTTGTTACTTTTACTTATTTACTTTCGCTTATGCAGGGCTTTGACTTAATACCTCTTCCAGCACTACATATTTCCATCTGAAGTGTTCTTGAGTAGCTGAAAATGATAATACTTGAGTAAATGTACGTATTTCCCCACTGGTTAAAGCTATATATTGTCTCCAGATGGCGTACATTAATATCTCAGCCATCTGTTGCAGTTTTTTCTGCTTCTTGCTTCCTAGAAGGCACGTCATCCTTTCTCCAAGTTAAGAGTCGAGCGTCATTATGCAAGACTCTCTGCTGCACTTCAAACACTGCAGAAAGTACAGCATGTCCTCTGCGCTGCCTGTCGACACTGTGTGAAATATTTAAGATTGTTAATGTTGAGCAGAGCTTGTGGGTTTTAGAGGATTGTAGTGTCAACAAAGATTGTTCTATAAAGCTACCAGAAGACAGTTGCATGAAAAGAGAGCTGCTCAAAGTCAGCTAACAGACTCTTAAATATCACAACAATATTTACCGTATTGACTTAATGGAAACAATGGCTTATTTAAAAATAGCAGCTTGTACAGGATGGACCGTGTTGAACTAGTGATAATTATCTCAAAGATGACTTGAAATAACAGAAATAATCCTTTATTTACAAACAGTCATACATTTCTGAAAAATGCCTATATTTCCACATCATTTGTGGAATATATTTAAAAAAAGAAAATGAACTCATTGTTTTAAACATTATCTGGTTTTGAAAAAATGACCTGACTTTTAAAAATAATGTTTTATTTTCAGAAATAACTTCAATTTTCAAAAAATTAAATTCACTTAAAGGTGGGGTATGTACGTTTGAGAAACCGGCTCGAGATACACTTTTTGTTATATTCCATGGAATGCTCTTAACATCCCGATAGCAATGAATATCTTAAGTGCTTTGACAAAAAATCCATAAAAAAATGTCATCTGTGGAAGCCGTGGCGCTGTAAAAAGTACAACCCGGCTAAACGGATTGCACGCACAAATGTATCTCGTGCCCTCATTATTGGGCGTGCATTGCGCGTTCATGTGTGTTGGAGGAGGTGCTCTGTAAGGAAGTCTGAAGGAAGGGGCGGATTATTTTCGGCTGTGTACTTTCAAATTGTAGTGCACTCGAGCCGGTTTCTGAAACTTACCTACCCCACCTTTAATGCAATTACAAGCTCGCTTTTTTGTATTCTGGATTGTGGGAAACGGTATTTCGATCTCTGTCTGTGCACACAAACTGAAAGATTGACAATAAAGTTGACTTTGATGTAAACATTATAGAAGATCACATGTTTCTTATATCTTTAGGTTAGTAACCACATATCTCTTCTTCTCTTCAGCTCCCCAGTATGTTTGGAGACTTGAGGTCGACGTTCATCGCTCTGATGATCGGATCCTACGCCTCCTCCGCCGTCACCTTCCCCGGCATCAAGGTAACAACAATCTGCTGTAAATAACAACAAATATCCATCCATTGTTCCTCATCCATCCCATGAGTCATTTCAAAGTTGTTTTTCATCATTTAAGGTCAAAAATCGTCTCAAAAAGTCTTTTAATAACAACACTTCAGACATTTGTAGGTGATCCATGCAAAACAAGTCTCATTGAGTTAATCTGTGATGTGTCCTAACGAACAGAACAGCCTCATAATTGTACATTAAAAAACCAGCTAGATTATACAAGTGTGATAGTGGGGCACAATTATTTGCATTTGCCATTAATTGGATTTTCATGATTGTTATTTGGAGAGACAATTATAGAAAGAAAAATATCCTTATAAATCTTGTCCAGCTGATTAAAACTGGATTTTAAACACAAATGTGCATTTGTTTTGTTATGGAAAGGCTTTTAAACACTTTTTTGGGCTATTGTTTGCTTCCATAAAATGTCTATAGTCAGAGTAGTGGGAATAAACATTACAAAAACACACATTTATTACGAAGCTTGTCAAGTTGTTTCTGTAAATTCCTCCTAAATTCACCAAAAGTTATAAAAGAATGCCTAATTTGCACTTCAAACACATAACAACCCAGTTCTTTATGTTGATTATTTGTTCACGAGGTTAGGGTAAGGGTTAAAGGGATTCTGATTCTGTTTCTGACGACTTCAGGTGATCTACGATCTGGGCGCCACCTTCATCATCATCCTGCTGGTCTGGGCTGCCTGCGCCTGCCTCGTCTTCCTCAACTGTTTCATCAACTGGCCTCTGGAGCCGTTCCCCAGCCCCGAGGACATGGACTACACGTGAGAATAAACGGGATTTCAGGGATTAACAGGTTTTCTGGGAGTAACAGGAGTTCTGTGAGTGGGGAGTAACGGGATTTCGGGGAGTAACGGGATTTCTAGTTCTTTAGTTTGTAGTTTGTAGTTCTTTGGTTGGTAGTTATTTGGTTTGTAGTTCTTTGATTAGTTCTTTAGTTTTTTGTTATTTAGTTGGTAGTTTGTAGTTTGTATTTCTTTGGTTTGTAGTTCTAGTTTGTAGTTCTTTCGTAACGGGATTTCTGTGAGTGGGTCGTAACGGGATTTCTGGGAGTAACGGAATTTCTGTGTGTGGGTCGTAACGGGATTTCGGGGAGTATCGGGATTTCTAGTTCTTTAGTTTGTAGTTTGTAGTTCTTTGGTTTGTAGTTCTTTGGTTTGTAGTTCTTTGTTTTTTTGTTATTTAGTTGGTAGTTTGTAGTTTGTAGTTTGTATTTCTTTGGTTTGTAGTTCTAGTTTGTAGTTCTTTCGTAACGGGATTTCGGGGAGTAACGGAATTTCTGTGAGTGGGTCGTAACGGGATTTCTGGGAGTAACGGGATTTCTGGGAGTAACGGGATTACTGGGAGTAACGGAATTTCTGTGAGTGGGTCGTAACGGGATTTCTGGGAGTAACGGAATTTCTGGGAGTGGGTCGTAACGGGATTTCGGGGAGTTACAGGGATTTTGGTTTGTATCAGGATAGTTCTTTAGTTTCTAGTTCTTTAGTAACGGGAGTAAGGGGATTTCTGGGAGTAACTGGATTTCTGGGAGTAACGGGACTCCTGGTTGGTTAAACCAAAATACTGTATAATTATGCTCAAAGTGTATTTATTTATTTTTCTTTCTTTTGTATTTGATATAGAGGTAATCCAGAAGTGACACAATGCGATCAGGTTACTTTTTTACCCTGATTTGGTTTCTGTTTTGTACTGGAACGTGTAAAGAAACACACACACACACACACACACACACACACACACACACACACACACACACACACACACACACACACACACACACACACACACACACACACACACACACACACACACACACACACACACACAGGTTTCTGTAGAGAGATTCTCCGCAGAGATCTCCTCACACACATGGAAAACATTTCATGGACTTTTACGCTTTCTATCCGAAGCATAAAGACAGGAAAGACTTTAAAACCAGATGATCGGCCGGATTTGCTCGCAGCCACCTAGATATTTTCTTTCCTCCTTTTGCTCGGCTCATGTATCTCCTTCTGACTTTCTTTCCTCATCCTTCTCCTTATTGGTGGATTACTGAACTTATCCTAAGTATTCACATCCCCCCCCCTGGCCTTCACCTGCAAAATACCACTGAAAGACACGTGCAAAGACTAGGAAGAGACTCAAAATAAACTTTAAATGGATTAAAAGAGATGCAAAACAACCACAAAAAACGATAACAAGCCCAAATGCAAAGAGATGTAAACAACCACAGGTACAAAAATGACAACAAGCAGACTCAAAAAACGGGCACAAAATAAATAGAAAGGAGACAAAATTACTATAAAGACACAAAAAAGACCAAAATGAACATATAACCACAAGACTACCACAAAGAGACTCAAAATACATGTCTATTACATGACAGAAAAAGACAAAAAGGGACCACAAAGAGACATAAAAAGACACGAAATGACTCAATTTGACTTCAAACAGTCACTTATGGAGCATTTCCACTACAGCGTGGAGCTCGCTTTAAGCGTGCAGGGCCCGTTTTTGGTTGTGTTTCCACTTGGCGTAGTTCCGGCTAGCGGGTACTATTTCACAGTTTTTCTGGTCCCATAAAATCGAGGTTCTTTCCGGGCCAACAACCAGGCTGAGTCGGGCTGAGTATGCTAAACTAGAGAGAGAATCGCTGGCAAGGGGGCTACAACTACAACAAGATTAACATATTTGACCGTGATTTAATTGTAATACACGTTTCAAAATGATGCCGAAGTAACAACATACTGATACCGGTTAGTAAAAACCATGAATTAATGCTTTGACAAGTCTGCAGACAGACGGCAGAGAAACGCCTTTTAAAATGTGTGTTTTAAAAGCTAAGCTAACGTTATATATGCTCCGACCGTCCACACTCACAACAACGGCCTACAGACATAAATAAACCAGCGACTGTATTCGCCATGACACAGGCAGTCTGTGGTTTGTACTTGTTTAACTTTTGTCTAGTTTCTGAACAGATATGAGGAGCTGTGAGCTCTGAGTGCTAAGAGCTAACGGCTGATGTTGTTTTTCTGTGGTTCTCATTGAAGATGACATCACGGCTCCGCCTACACTGCGTTGCTATAGTTACTGCCCCAGCTACTACACTGTAATGGAAACGCAGCATAAAGTGACTCTGGCCTACCAAGGCCTAACGAGGCCTAGCCATACAGAGCGAGGCCCTGTAATGGAAATGCGCCATTAAAGACCTCAAAGATACGTAAAAAGACACAAAACGACTCAAAGTGACTTCAAACAGTTACAAAAAGACCAAAATGGACAACAAAGTGACACAGAATCACACTATTTCACGGTTCTCTGTATTTTGCGCTCAAAATATCCTCTTCACCGCCTCTTCTCTCCCCACCTGCAGGGTTAAGATCAAGTTCAGCTGGCTGGGCTTCGACCACAAGATCACAGGGAAGCAGTTTTACCAGCAGGTGACGACGGTGGGCCGCCGCCTCAGCGTGGGAAACTCCATGAAGCAGAAACAGCCGAACAAGGACCTGGCAACGCAGGAGGCCAACAAACTGTGCCTGTCCACCGTCGACCTGGAGGTCAAATCCAAGGACCAGGAACCGGGTGAGTCTGCAGGAAAATACACTTCAAACTAGTGTCGTTACGATACCAACATTTTTGTTTCGGTACGGATACCAAGTCAAGAATTGCGATTTCTCAAAAAAAGGGGAACCCGTCTTAAATGTCATTATTGTGCTTTATTTCAAACCTGGAAACAATTTGCAGTCATAACACAAACTTTTGAACAATGAGAACTATAAATAAAATAAATTAAAGCAATGGCATTCAAGGTAAAATGACAATTAACTAAAATAGCAGCATCATCTCAAACAACTTTTTTGTCAAAATTCAAAATAGAGGGATCTGAAACATTCCTTACAGACAGGCCTCGTGGTGTCCGTAGGCTTGCCCTCGCTGTCGGAGATGCAACCAAAATACTTCCAAATTTCACTTCTTGCGTCTTAATTGTCTTCAAGCTGAGGCGCATCGGCAATAGCACTCACACTTGCAGCCATGCTTCTCGTTTTGTCACATGATATAAAAGCTATATTCATAAAAAGAGTATTTTTAAACACGAGTATCTGTACTTCTACTTGAGTAAAGGATGTGTGTACTTTTGCCATCTCTGCAAGACAGACAGGATGTAAACACTAATGGGAACAGTAGAAGAAGACAAAGAGGAAGTTACAGGAACACAGTATGCGCTTTGTCATTGTTCAAGGTCTTCCACACTGCCTTAAAAGTGCTTGAATTTTAATTAAATATCCGTATGAACCCTCAGACCCCAGCTCGGACCTACATCTGTACAAAACAATTAGTCCCAAACATGCCTGTGTTACCTTAAGGCGCCCCTTTACCTCCGCCCTAAATCCAAGCTAAGCTAACGTCCGTTTCCCCCACACCTCTTGCTCTCTTTGGTAACAAATGGACCGTGGAATATGTTCAGACCCTGATTTTAGAAAGCCACTCAGTAGGTGTTTGGTTTCAGAGCCTGAGAGAAGCATTGTAGCGTTGCAGTCATTGTTAATTTCATAACAGCTGGACATTTTCCATCTGTCAGGAGCTGTTAGATTACACACTGCAGCTCTCATTTCTCTCAGCTAGATATCGACTAATCAGCCCTTAAACCCCAAAAAGCAGAATAGGCTCCCATTTAAGTATAAGTAGTAATACCACAGTGTAGAAATACTTTGTGACAAGTAAATCTAGCAGCAAAGAACCACAAATAATAATAATAACTTGTATTTCTATAGCGCCTTTCATGATACACAAGGTCGCTTTACAAGGAAGAACAGGAGTATAAACAAACATAACAAAACAAAAGGCAGTCAGACGATCAGTTTAGACAGACAAAACAACAAATAGATTTGGGGCCAAAGTCCTTGGCAGACAGATGGGACTTGAGGGCCCTCAAAAATAACATTTCTTGTGAAGCATAATGGCTATTACAATTAGTGATCCATTAATCAGTTCATCATTTTAAATGTTAGAGCTGGTAAAGGTGGAGATGACTTGTTAACGGACTATATAATAACTATAAATAAGTGTACAGTAGTAAAAAGTACAATATTTGCCTCCATATTGTAGTGGAGTACAAGTAAGTACATAGTACTTGAACCTAAAAAGCCTTGTGCAAATGTTTCTTTCCACCCCTGCGTTATGGTAATTATTTATTTAGCTTGGCCACCCTGTTCTAGTTTGGTATGTAAACGTGACATGGTGCTAGCAGGATGATAGCCAAGGTTGGTTTTTTATTCCTAATGACCTCTTCTTATTTCATTTCCTGTGCAGCTCAGACCTTCATGAAGAGTATCTTCAGCCCCATCTTCATGCTGAGCCTCATCACCATGTGTGTGACGCAGCTTCGCCTCATCTTCTACATGGGAGCCATGAACACCATCTTGGAGTCTCTGACGGAGGGAGACCTCAGCACCGGTGAGATTAAACACTGTATAAACACACAATAAGGAACTACAGCACGGTCACATGACTTCACGTCACCACCGCTAAGCTAAAGGGGGCTAATGTTGGGCTATAAAGGAACTACAGCACGGTCACATGACTTCACGTCACCACCGTTAGCTAAAGGGGGCTAATGTTGGGCTATAAAGGAACTACAGCACGGTCACATGACTTCACATCACCACCGCTAAGCTAAAGGCGGCTAATGTTGGGCTATAAAGGAACTACAGCACGGTCACATGACTTCACGTCACCACCGCTAAGCTAAAGGAGGCTAATGTTGGGCTATAAAGGAACTACAGCACGGTCACATGACTTCACGTCACCACCGCTAAGCTAAAGGAGGCTAATGTTGGGCTATAAATAAGGAACTACAGCACGGTCACATGACTTCACGTCACCACTGCTAAGCTAAAGGAGGCTAATGTTGGGCTGTAAATAAGGAACTACAGCATGGTCACATGACTTCACTTCACTACCGCTAAGCTAAAGGTGGCTAATGTTGGACTATAAAGGAACTACAGCACGGTCACATGACTTCACTTCACTACCGCTAAGCTAAAGGTGGCTAAAGTTGGACTATAAAGGAACTACAGCACGGTCACATTACTTCACGTCACTACCGCTAAGCTAAAAGTGGCTAATGTTGGACTATAAAGGAACTACAGCACGGTCACATGACTTCACGTCACTACCGCTAAGCTAAAGGAGGCTAATGTTGGACTATAAAGGAACTACAGCACGGTCACATGACTTCACTTCACTACCGCTAAGCTAAAGGTGGCTAAAGTTGGACTATAAAGGAACTACAGCACGGTCACATGACTTCACGTCACTACCGCTAAGCTAAAAGTGGCTAATGTTGGACTATAAAGGAACTACAGCACGGTCACATGACTTCACGTCACTACCGCTAAGCTAAAGGAGGCTAATGTTGGGCTATAAAGGAACTACAGCACGGTCACATGACTTCACGTCACCACCGCTAAGCTAAAGGAGGCTAATGTTGGGCTATAAAGGAACTACAGCACGGTCACATGACTTCACGTCACCACCGCTAAGCTAAAGGGGGTTAATGTTGGGCTATAAAGGAACTGCAGCACGGTCACATGACTTCACGTCACCACTGCTAAGCTAAAGGAGGCTAATGTTGGGCTATAAATAAGGAACTACAGCACGGTCACATGACTTCACGTCACCACCGCTAAGCTAAAGGAGGCTAATGTTGGGCTGTAAATAAGGAACTACAGCATGGTCACATGACTTCACTTCACTACCGCTAAGCTAAAGGTGGCTAATGTTGGACTATAAAGGAACTACAGCACGGTCACATGACTTCACTTCACTACCGCTAAGCTAAAGGTGGCTAAAGTTGGACTATAAAGGAACTACAGCACGGTCACATGACTTCACGTCACTACCGCTAAGCTAAAGGAGGCTAATGTTGGACTATAAAGGAACTACAGCATGGTCACATTACTTCACGTCACTACCGCTAAGCTAAAAGTGGCTAATGTTGGACTATAAAGGAACTACAGCACGGTCACATGACTTCACGTCACTACCGCTAAGCTAAAGGAGGCTAATGTTGGACTATAAAGGAACTACAGCACGTTCACATGACTTCACTTCACTACCGCTAAGCTAAAGGTGGCTAAAGTTGGACTATAAAGGAACTACAGCACGGTCACATGACTTCACTTCACTACCGCTAAGCTAAAGGTGGCTAATGTTGGGCTATAAAGGAACTGCAGCACGGTCACATGACTTCACGTCACCACCGCTAAGCTAAAGGTGGCTAAAGTTGGGCTATAAAGGAACTGCAGCACGGTCACATGACTTCACGTCACCACGGCTAAGCTAAAGGTGGCTAATGTTGGGCTATAAAGGAACTACAGCACGGTCACATGACTTCACGTCACCACCGCTAAGCTAAAGGTGGCTAATGTTGGCTGTGATGACGTTTAGTGATCAGAAAGTGAACCGTGTTGCTGTGGATGTTTTCTATGTTCACTTTTCTTTCTGCTCTCTAACGATCCTCTCTCTGCTGCTTTCTGCTCAGCTTCAGCGCCTCGTTGTTAACTCTGCTTTGTCTTTCCTCCCGTTCTGTTTCTGCCACTCTTTCTTTTTCCGCCGCGCTGGCTTCTTGCTGCTGTTTCAGTGGAGAAGATGCAAGTGGGTAAGAAACTTCAGGCTTGAATCACAAAGAAACCCAATTTCTCCAGCTGTTTGTTTCCACTATTCATTCATGGACAAACCAACAAACGATATCCTTTACTGGAGCAAAAGTAGAAATACTGTGATCTTAAAATACTATATTACAAGTAAAAGTATAGTAGGAAGTATAGAAGTATATAAAAAATGTAGTATTATGTTATTAGCATAGAAATAGAGAGATAGATTAGTGATACTACACCAATGTGTTGATTAACAATACAAATGTTCACGTATTTATTGGTATATTTATATACTTTTTCTTCTTATATTTATGCAAATATGTTATTTTATTTCATTGTTAAATAGAGCAACTGTTACAAAGCCCAATTCCCCCCTGAATATGTATAAGTAATATTTTCCAATCAGGACTTTTACTTGTAACGGAGTATTTTAAGACCATAGTATTTGTACTTGTAACAGAGTATTTTAAGACCATAGTATTACTACTTTTACTAACGGAGTATTTTAAGACCATAGTACAACTACTTTTACTTGTAACAGAGTATTTTAAGACCATAGTATTACTACTTTTACTTGTAACAGAGTATTTTAAGACCATAGTATTACTACTTTTACTTGTAACAGAGTATTTTAAGACCATAGTATTTGTACTTGTAACAGAGTATTTTAAGACCATAGTATTACTACTTTTACTTGTAACAGAGTATTTTAAGACCATAGTACAACTACTTTTACTTGTAACAGAGTATTTTAAGACCATAGTATATCTACTTTTACTTGTAACAGAGTATTTTAAGACCATAGTACAACTACTTTTACTTGTAACAGAGTATTTTAAGACCATAGTATTACTACTTTTACTTGTAACAGAGTATTTTAAGACCATAGTATTACTACTTTTACTTGTAACAGAGTATTTTAAGACCATAGTATTACTACTTTTACTTGTAACAGAGTATTTTAAGACCATAGTATTACTACTTTTACTAACGGAGTATTTTAAGACCATAGTACAACTACTTTTACTTGTAACAGAGTATTTTAAGACCATAGTATATCTACTTTTACTTGTAACAGAGTATTTTAAGACCATAGTACAACTACTTTTACTTGTAACAGAGTATTTTAAGACCATAGTATTACTACTTTTACTTGTAACAGAGTATTTTAAGACCATAGTATTACTACTTTTACTTGTAACAGAGTATTTTAAGACCATAGTATTACTACTTTTACTCGTAACAGAGTATTTTAAGACGATAGTATTACTACTTTTACTTGGGTAAAGAAGTACTTTTTCCACTTTTACTTAAATATCTGAATATTTCCTCCACCTTTGACTTTGTGTTTGTGTTTCTTTGTGCATCCTCCTCTAAATCCTCCATATTTCATGTTTAAAACGTTACAAAACAGCCAAAATCAAACCTCAATAACGCTTTTCTCCCGTCCCTCAGTGAGCGTCTACACGTCGATCTTCGGCGTCCTGCAGCTCCTCTGTCTCATCACTTCTCCCGTGATCGGGTACGTGATGGACTGGAAGCTCAAAGACTGTGAAGACGACAAAGACAAAGTCACCCCGAGGTGAGGAAGCACCCATAAAACACTATGAAAAATTAACTAATTGCAATTTTTTTTACTTTAAGAGATGCAAAAGAACCAAAAAACCTAAAAGAAAACCAATTACAAAGAGATATAAACCATCACAGGTACAAGATTACAACAAACAGACTTTGAGTCACAAAGAAATATAAAAAAGAGACACAATGAGACTCAGAGACACAAAATGAACATTCGATTACTACAAAAAGACAACAAATGACCAAATATGAAACATTTTACCACAAAAAGACCAATTATTTTGAGTGATATTGCAATATTTGTGGACAGGTGTGGTTGGCGACGGCTTAGCAGATACGATAAGATAAGACGTACCTTATTGATCCAAATGTGGGAGTTTTTTGTGTCTTTTTAGCATTGCAAAAGAGGAGGTAAAAGCCATTGTTCTTCGTGTTGTTTGATGATTTGTTTGATCAACTAAGTGAACTTGAAATGTGAACGGTTTAGAGCAGTGGTTCCCAACCTGGGGGGCGCCAGGCCTCAGATGATTTGAGACCAAATATTATATTTAGACTTTTTTTTTATTTATTTTTTTTACATATAATTGTAAGGCCAGGGCTCGACATTATAAATGGCCCGCTGGCCCGGAAGCACTATTTAGACACCCCGGGCAGCACTTTCCACTTGCCCGCTCGGGCCACTAAAAATATTGTTTAAAAAAAAATGTGTCCTGTGGTATTGGTATTTTGACTAGCAATTTAGTTAAATTGTTTCGTTTATCAACGCTACAACATAGCGTTTCGTGAGTCGCTTGTCGTTGTTGGGTGAAAAGCAAACAGCTGTTTGCTGCGGAGCGCGAGCAGGCTCCCGTGAGCGGGAGCGCGCTCCTTCACTACAGGCTATCGCGCCACCTAACCATTCGCCAAATGTTTTTAATACCAGCGGTAACCGGCCAAGCGCCGGGCAAAAAACTATCTTCAAATAAAAGAAAGTCACCGGAGGAGTTAAAGGAGAGTGACAGGGAGTATGAGAAGAAGAGGGAGAGAAAGTTTCATCTTGATCGATGGAGTTGGCTTCTATAGAGTGGTGCAGTGACGCGTCCTAAAACCCTTTTATAATCTATCGATTAGATTTATGATTCGAAAATTATAAAAGTAGGGTAGACATGTGGAGATTATCCGGCTGAACAAAACGTGCATTTATCAAACAGGTTTGTTTTCCACAGACCTTATTTCCAGCTATTTTCCAAAACCCTGTGGAGAAATCCCATTGCTTTTTGTGGAGGGAACCAGCAGCTTACTTCCTGGTTTTATGACGCGTCACTGCACCTCTCAATATGATGCCAATATAAACAAGGTCTTCTGTCGGCTCTGTACATCAATGCCGACCTAAACAAGTAAGTGAAGAGTAGAAAATATAAAGGTATTGGCGAAATGTCCCAGCAGTTTAAGATAATGAAGGATCTAATCTAATCTATAGCCATTACATGTCTAACTCCTAATGACAGGAAGGCAGAAAGTGCATTATACAAATAATAATACTCATAATAATAGCAGACATTTTTTAACAATGACCACAATATCATTAGTTTAATAAACCAAATATGAACAATTGAGGAAAATGAGGAAGAACTGATGATTCAAATGTTGTAGTACAAGTAGTAATGTAGTTAGTGCATAAATTACTATTGCAACAAATGTGTTCATTTTCTTCATTATTAGTCGATTTTTTTTGGACGAATGCTCCGGGTCAGTGGCTTTTTACCCTTAATGTCTACCCCTGAAGGCAATACATGATTGTCACTAAAAGCCTTGTCTCCACATTACAATAAAATATAAAAAATAATTGACTAATTAATTTTAATAAGAATTCAAGTTAGTATTAAAGGCATACAAAGACAGAAATGTATAATTCTTTCTATAGAAATGTTTCTTCTGCCCGTAAAGTGTCCAAACCGGGCTTTTCTGGATAAGCGTATTTTTAAAACACAGTCGTTGTCCATGCCGGTTTCAGTTGGATTATTTGTCAGTTGCTCCGATCAGATCGGTCTCCTCCATTTTGTAGATTATTTACGACTTTTGAATCCACATAAACACATCGGCAAAATCCGGCTTACTTTGAGCATGTGTTTTAAACAGTTTCATCAT